GAAAGAGAGGGGTCAGGGATCCATGTCCAGATAGAGGGCACAAAAGCCCTGGGCCCAGACCTGCCCTTTCCCCCATGGTACCTGCCATACCTCCCCTCTCAAGAAACAGGGGCTGCCTCTTCCTGCCAGCCACTTCCCCACAAGGCCCTTGCCCTTTGCCTGGCTTGTAAAAGGCATAGGTCAGAGGGTGTCCCTTTAGGCTACATGGTCACACTGTCAGGGAGCCTTGGGGCAGAGGCTGTTCCAGGGGAGCGGACTTTTCCTCTGTAGCTCAGTCATGCAGCACAGGGACTTCTGTTGGCAGGAGGAGAGTAGATGAAGGACCCAGGGGCACAGGCAGGGCTGGAAGCAGCAAGGTGGCCTGGGAAGAGCACCATGCATGAAGGACCACAAATACAAGGAACCAGGCAGTAAAACAAGGAGATATGGGAGCAGGCTGCCAGGGCACGCATATAGGATATTCAGGCCCTGAGCATGACATGGATAAGCAAGCCTGGGCAGAGGTGGGCATCTGGGGCCGAGGACAGAGCAGGAAGCTGAAACCTGCCAGCTCTCAAAGACTCTGACCTGGCTGGAACCATTGCTGAGCTGGTGTGGTCTGCTGACAAACAGCCTGCAGCTGTTACAGCCCAAATCACGCTTGCAGTCCCTGTATCATGCTTCTTGCAGCTCCTCCAGGCTGAGCTGGAGGACTATGTCCCCAATTGCATGACAGGCTCAACATCTCTCTCATCTCTTTCTCCCAGAAGCAGTGTGGCACAAACTGTGTTTGGAAGGACCAGATTCAAACGGAGCTGTTCCAAGGGCCCAGAGCAGAGCTGTGACATTCCCTTGCCCAGCACAACCCACAAAGAGAACAGCACAGGATGCACACAGACAGGACAGGCACACAGAGCCAGGCTACAGGCATGGTCACAGGAGCAGCACAACCTGAAGCTTGATTCTCCCTTGTCTGGCAGGGAAGCCCAGGCAGCTTCCCAGGCTAGAAGAGCCAGGTACCCCAGGACACAGCTGGCACTCCAAGACGTAGGTACAGTCTCCCACAAGCAGCACAGGTGACCCAGCCACTCTCCAGTGCTCTCACTCCTATCCCCACTCCACACCCCAAACAGTGCCCACCACACCCCACCCAGCAGCAGTGATGCCCTGCAGCATAAGCAAGAGGATCTGAGCCCCTGCCCAGCTGGGCCATGCTGCCTGCCCCACCACCCCCTGCATACTCAGCCAGCGGAAGTTGAAACGGTAGTTTTTCCACTCTTCCAGGTTGCTGATGTCAAACACAGAGCTGGGACTCAGATTATTCTGGGGGTTGCTGAGGATCTCTGCTATAATCCCCTGATCCCCCCTCAGCAGGGCCTGCCAGTAGGCCTGGGCAGGGCCATTCACCTTCCGTGTGCAAATGGGCTCCTGATTCTTGTCTGCTGTGCCCATGATACAGTACCCAGACTCAAGGTAGGAGCCGGGCTTGGACCTGCAGCCGCCTCCTTGACCAGGCTCTGAGCCTGTGGGCGCAGCCCCACCAGTGCCCTATGCTCTGCACCAAAGAGCCCTCTGTGTGCCCCGGTGCGCTCTGCAGGGAGCAGGGATGTGCCACATCACTGCTGGCCCAGGCTGGGTACAGCTCAGGTCTCAGCTCTTCTATTCTGGGGAACCTTGTGACCAAATGTTTGCCCTTGAGGCAGAAAAGGACACTCCTCCTGGGCAGCAACACCTCTGCAGCAACTGGCTGTAAAGGGAAAGGCCCCATACAAGGCAGGGTAGGAGAGGAGCCTGGAGGGTAGAGAAGGAGACAGGGCAGCACAGAGAAGCCAGAGAAGGAAGTAGTCCCACAGCCAACCACTCTAAGGCACCCATCTCGCCTTTTGGCCTCCATTTAACACACAGACTATAATCACCCAGTTGCTGCCCAGGCCACAACAGCCTGACCCAGCTGCCTCCATACCCCAACAGTGTGCATTATCCAGCCCTTGCCTTCTTTCTTATCTCCAGCACTGCAACCCCCCATCTGCTGGTTCCATCCAAGCCCATGGCAATAGACAGGTTTTTAAACAAATCAGAGGAGAGTTCTTTTTATCAAAGCTTAAAGACAAAGGATAGGTAGGAATAGGTACAAGGTGGTAAACGGTCCATTACAAGTGAAGTAAAAATATAGAAGACAGTTGTCCTTTCAAACCCCTCCTCCTTTTCCTTGAAATTCAGTCTTGCAGAGAGCTCCTGCACTGTTTCAGTACTGCCTTTTCCCTTCCTTTGACAGTCCCCTCCACTAGGGTTCCTCACCACTGTCCCTTCACCCTGGGAGACCACTTCCCACTGCTCCACTGTATAAGCCCATCCTGCCCCTGCTTTGGTTACACAACATTAGCATCATCCAGCACAGCAGTAAAGCAGAGCCGGCTCTTTGCTCACAGCTCCCGTCATGGAACTACTTAGATCATGCAGCTATAAACCAAGTTAACTGACTCCAATAGACCACCAAACAATGATTATCTGGGGGACCAGAGAAGAGGATAAGATAAGGAACTCTACCCTTCTCAGTAGGGAAAAATAAATGACCAAGCTATATATTTTACTCATATTCTCCAGCATCCTCTGTCTGAGCAGATTTGACTACCAACTAGTCTAGCTACAACATAGTGCAAGAAGGGGTTAAAAAGAGGGAAGCCTTTGCAGACTGCCTCACCTGCTGGGATTCTCAGTTTCCCCAAAGCTATAAATAGGTATCCAACGGGAGTCAGAGTTCCTAGCTCACAAGAGCATTGCCAGAGAGACAAAGGGCTGTGCGAGATAGTGTCAGTAACACTGTTCAACTTAGACCTCCTCTGGGCTCCTTCAAATATCAGTTGGGATATTAAAATATCAGTTCCTGGCCTCAGGAAAGGCCAAGTCACTGGAATCTACCTTTAGGGCTGCTCACTGGATAGTTTTTGGGAAAAAGTCCCTACAGGTCAGGGACCAAAGACTTTGGTAGCAAGTAGGTTTGCTTTTTTTTTTTTTTTTTTGCTCTGTATCCCTGCTTGATAAATCTTGCAGTACATTTGTGGTCTGTGCTTGATGGACGGAGGTGTTTGGTTAGGTTTTTCATATCTTGTTAGTTTGGTGATAAGAGCAATTTCTGGGCGAAGTTGTTTTACATAAGCTGTTCTGCTGTCTCTGGGGCAGAAATCTCTGCAAGCAGACTGGCTTACTGTTCAAGGGTCTGTCAGCCCAGCACACGACAGGAACACTTCAGAGTTAAAAAGTGCAATTAATATTTTTCTGACAAGAGGTCTTAGTTACACAAAAAGAGTAATAACTTTTTGCCTTTTTTTCCCTACGTAGACTATAAAAATTCAAAACCTTGGGTATACAGACCTTGGCACTCAGTAAATAGCTTTCAGCACCCAAAGGTATCAAGCACTTGCATCTCCAAGCCTACCCTATGTGTTTGTCTCTCGTTAGCTCAGATCCCCAAAAAACAGTCAGGCTCAAGCTTTATCAATATCCTCCATAGCTTGCTGCTAGGACACTATAAGGAACCTACGCCTCTGGGAAGTAGCCTTCATCAGCAGCTCTGCTATTCTGGCACAGTGAGGCTTTCACCTCCAGCATCATCTATGGAAAAAGTGAGTAGCACAAACACTCCCAGTAATGCTCCCCTTTCACACTTGACACTCCTCGTCTTAAATCCCGCCTGCCTGCAACACACTACTAGCAGATAGGCAGCAGCAAGAACACGTGGCCTTCCACATTCCTAAGGACACCTCTCCCCTTGACACAGCCTACATCAGTCATGCCACTTACTCCAGGACTGAAAAGTTCATAGATGACATTGATGAAAACCTAATCAAAAGGGACCAAAGAGCACGGAGGTATGTGTAGTGCAGACAAGACATACCTAGGCAGAAGGTACGGTGAGGTGTATGGATGGGAGGAAGTACCAAGGGCGACCGGCTTCTGTCTCCCGTCACTCAGAACAGGCTTGCTTCTGTCATCTTTCTAGCAGATCAGATTCCTGCCCCCCTCGCCCAGCTTGTCTCTCAGAATAAAATAGCTGGAAGGGTGCAAACCTCGTTCATGAAGGAAAAGCAAAACTAGGCCTGGAATGAATGCTTCTGTTCTGGAGCAAAGGCCCCTCATCACTGCTAGCAGTTAGCGATCACCGCTAACTCTCCCATATCAACTCCCCCACAGCCGCCAAAGTCAGTGTTTGAAACAGGGATATCAATGGCTCTGCTTGACACCTGGATGTCACCATAGCATCAGCAATAGGTGCGTGGAGTGACTGTGGCTTGGTTCCCAAGCAGCAGCCCACAATGCTGAAGGGCACTGCCAGGACCTCTCTGCTATTCCCAGAGCATGTCACAGACCAGTTCTTAGTGGACTGGAACAGACCCAACAAGGCACAAGGCAGGAAAAGCATCCCTATGCCACTCAATGCCTTCTCACTAAAGCACTCGCTCTCCACCTCACACATACTTCATATCCATCCCAGCAGTCTCAGTCAGGTCAGTCCTGACGTTCTTCCTCTCTGAGACCCCTCCCAAACACCCTGTTCTCATCACTTCTCAGTAGACCTGCAACAATCCTGGTAGTTTGTTCTGCAGCTCTGTTCTCCCAAAAACTTCTTTTCCCTCATGTCCCTCTTCCACCACCCTGTCTCCATGACTGGGGCTTCCTCCCAGCACTTTTCCCAGATGCCTCTGCTCTATCCCTGATCCCCACCCTGGGGTCTTCCCAACCACCAACGTCCCAGCCCTGCATACCCACCAAATTTCCTGCTAGTCCAGCGCAGCTCATCACCCTTGGTCTCAATTATGAGATTGATAGCTGCACCCTTCGTGAAGTACTTTCGAACCATCTCCAGGTCCCCAGTGAAGAGTGCATTCTGGACCAGCAGGTCCCGGCACTCCAGTGGCTCTGTGCGGCCACCTCCAGTGGCTCTGTTCTGGCATCCCTGGCCCACTGGGTTTAGGTTGCCCTCTCTGTGTCTTGGCCTTAGGCGCTGAGAGTACTTCCACTGATCCAGCTGTTCCTCGTCCAGCTGCAGTGAGCACAGCGTGGCGGAGCTGAAGGAAAAGGTGCAGTCCATCACTGGGAACACATGGGGCAAGCCTGAACCTTACAGTAAACAAGCTGCTGCAGCCCAGAGCTTCTTGTTCAAGGCTGTGTCCTTTGTGGGTTGCCTCTGGGTTCCAGCACTCCAGTGTCTGGCTGGACTCAGGCACAGGCCTGACTCAGACAGTATAAATAGTTCCACTTGGCAGCTCTCCTCCGCCACCTCCCCCCTCTGCAACAGTTTATCATCAGCTGCTGGAGCTGATCTCCAAGGCAGGCTGGGCACAGGAGAGGGGCAAGAGGCAGCCCTGAAACCTTCTTCATACGCTTGCTAGTTTGCTCTGCAAAGTCTCTGCTCTGCACTGCGCTGTGCCTCCACTTGAGGAAGAAACAGAACAGAAGTGGGGGAAGGGAAAAAAAAAATTAAGGTTAGGGTACCTAGGTAGAGGCCTGCAGCAGAAGCAGTAGTGAAAATTGTGAGGGACTGCATACAGATGCCTTCCCTTTGGACACCTCCAGCTCTTGGGAGCCTAGCATTTCCACTAGGCCATTGAGACTGGCTGCCTACACACAGTCCAGCAGAGTAAGCGACATGCACACCTTGGGTAAAGCAGCTTGAATGAAATAAAACAAGTTTCCTGAGGCTAGAAAAGACAGTCTCCTGTGAGAACCCCAGGAGCTCAGCAAGTGTCTTCAGGCTTCTGACTCTTCTGAGTTACATTTGGAGGGGTGAAAGATGCTGCTGAAGTACCCTGCCCTGCCCCAGTCATTACTGCTCACTCTGTAGGACATGGAGAGGATTGCGTTAGCTAGGATGTTGTGGCAGTTTGACATAGGGTTGGGACTGGTTAAGCTTTGCTTACCCTCAAATTACTATCCTACCCTATCCTAACCTGTTAATCGCTGTGTCACGGCCAACACGTGAAGAACCTTCCAGATGGGCAAGCTGTGAGTACCAGCAGTGGCAACATCCAATCATCAGGTGCCACAGGAGTTTGAACCAGTTGGAATGAGGTATTCTCTACCCCGTCCTACAACTGATGGGGCTGGGGGTCACTGGAGAGATCTGGCAGAGACCCCAGGAAAGGCAACAGGAGTGCCTGAGAGCTAATGGCAGGGATCCCATGGCACCACACCTGGACTGCAGCACACAGCCGGAACCACCTTTCTCCTGGACCATGCCATCTTCTCTGCTGGACAGAGAGATCGCATTAGAAACCCTTCTGTTGACTTGCCTGGCTTCTCTCCTGGGCTGCACCAACTATCCTACGGAACAGAGAAGCTGTTTCACTCGTTAACATCATTATCCTGTGACTAAAAGCAGGTGAATCTTTTTCTACCTCCTTCCTCTTCTGTGCCTTGATCAGCTCCAGGTCATACTGCTGTTCCAAAGTGCTAGATTCATCCTGATTCCCCCAAAGAGCTGCAAAGATGGGGTAGCTGGACTTCACCAGATGGACCCTTCTAGCTCCTTTTTGTCCTCACTCCTACAGGCATCAGGACTTCCACCCTGAAGACCCCTCTATATCCATATCACATCCTTCAGGAGGACATCTCAGCACATCTCTTATCACCTCATTCATCCTCATGTCAAGCCTTTCCCTCTTGTGTTTCAGCCCACTGCCACCATTAGGGAAAAAGTGCTGCCTTCTCAACAGCAGAGCCCTTCCTGTTCCCTACAGCACCTCTGAGCCATCCCCTGGCAGGGTGACTGCACAGACAGCTGACACACAAACATGTGACAGCCTGGCTTGGTTCAGCTGAACCAGGATGCACATGAAGAATAAAGCTTGGCATACAGAGCAGCCAGGTGCCCTCCACTGACAGCTAAGGGGGGCATCAGACAACATTCAGGGTCTCGGTAAGTGAAGCCAAGCATCCAGTACATGTGCTAATCTAAATGCCTGCATTTCAGATTTCCTCCCTTCACACTGGAAGGCACTAGTAAGCAAGGGACTGGCAGCCCAAGATGGGTTTATGCCTCTTGCACCACAGCTGTAACTGGTCAGTGAGACAGGAAGTGCCAAGTGGAGAGCCACTGCCCAAAGCCCTGTGTACTGAAAATAGTGTAATGCCCTGACCACAGGCAACCGTAGTCTCTGAGAGCAAGGCAAAGGTTCAGCTGGAGCCTCCCTACTCGCATATACATGCAGAGGGAGGGAACAGTAAGGGGGATATATCATGTTAAACTGCCTGCAAACACGTGCACATAAACCCTGCAAGCCACCAACCATTAAGTGTCACTTTCTGGCTTCTTGTTCTGTGCTGCAGTTACAGCAGCTCCAGTTCCCTCCCAACCACAGTATGCAGTCCCCCTTACTTGAGTACTTTGTGAATGCTTCACTGATCGCTGGCAGGAACTCGGGTGAAGCCAAGATCAAACCTTCACCATCTTCCTGGGCAAAAACCTTCGACCCAGTGACTTACTCTCATAAACTAAGACAGGGAAGAGGACATAGCTCCAAAACACATAGGAAAGGGAAGGTCCTGCAGCCCCTATTTCTGCTTGCTGCCATCTCCCAACTGTACCACCCTCCCCTTCTTTCCCAGCCTTCTCCCTCACGCTCTTCTCAAGCCCTGGCCTGAACCTTATCTCTGTCTCTCCTCCAGCCCCTTTCCTGGTCTTCTTGGCAGCCAAGATCTCACCAATTTCATGCCCTTTTCTTTCTCCCCTGCCTTCTCACCTTTCTCACATCAGGTGCTATCACATCAGAGCTAGCATCCCTTCAGCATCAGGCTGTGAGACCCAGTCCCTCCACCCTGAGACCATCCCACCACATATGCGTTTCCAGCACCCTAGAAATTCAGAATAAGCAGCATGTGGGGTGGGGAGAAAGCTCACCCCACCTCCTGAGACCATTTGTCACTTCAACCCCAGAGAGGCCCCATGTTTGATATCCTGCCCTTCCTCTTCTAATATAACAGCCTCTGTCCCTACTCCAGCTTTGCTTTTACCTGCTCAGAGGTCTATTCAGAGAAAAGGATGCTACAGCCACCTATTTCCTCACCAGGAAAGTCACGGAAGCAGCCAGTGAGGTTACTGTGCTCTCTGTGGATGGCAGAACACAGCTTGCCCTTGGGTACAGCTGCAGAGCCCTGGTTGGGGGAGGGTGGGGGGAGTTCATCCCCACTCCACTAACTTTGGTCACAAAATGGCACCATGCAACATCACAGCCAGGACCTTGGCTAGAAGTGGCTGAGTATGATCAGGAGGGAGGGGACAATGGGAGAAGAATGAACATTGCTCATGTCTCCAGGACCCCAACAGTACAAGGACAAGGTGATACTGGGAGTCTTGTAACACAGCGTAGGGTTTTGATGTTCTACAGGTGAGGTGGACAGCTGTAGGGTGTCCATGTGGCAGTCAGAGAGTAACAGGGAGGCAGAGATAGCAGCAGGGTCACCCCATTCAGCCACTCACCAGCACTCAGTGAACCACTGCTGAAGCTGCTGCTCCATCTGCTCCCTTCTGCCTAGTCTCTCCAGCTCATGCAGCTTCTCATGGACATTCACCAGAGCCTGCTGGTACTCAGCTTCATAGTCATCCTGGGTACAGATGCTGCAACTCTTTACCCATCTGTGCCCACAGCACAGCAGCCGAGAGCCCCAGGGCCTGTGGGGTCTGGAGCCCGCAAGAACGTAAGTGCAAGGGCTTGTCAGAAAGTAGCTACCACTCTGTATTGAGCGTGGAGCACAGGTGAAGGACAGGACACCAGAGAGACAGCCCCACCAGCAAGCATGGCCCCCAAGCCCCCATTTCCAAACCCAGCACTCCTCTGCCCTGGGCATGCTCCTCGCTTCTTTTGCTGTAGATGACACCAGGCCTGCCTTATCAAGTAAGTTTCTCTCTAGTGCCAAGCAGAAGCAGCCATGGCAGGGAAGAGACATTAGAACCATCAGAAAGAGGTTGTGTGGGGAGCAAGCAGCGTGCGTGTAAACGAGTCTGTAACGAGTTTGTAATATGCATGTGTGGCGCGCCCTGCGCAGCGTCATCACAATGGCACAGGCACTTTCCCGCCTCATTGCCTCCCAAATGGATTTTAAATATCATTCCGAGGACACAATTATTTAAAACGCTGAACTAAACACTCGCTAATGGGAAAACGGCGTGTGGCCTGCAGCAGCCATTCCTCATGGGGCCACTCTGCCCATGTCATCCTCTTCTCCAACCCCACACCCTGCATGGGGCCACAGGGAAGTACCCTCCTCCCTTTCCCCTACTCAGAGACCACATAGGGTACCACCAGGCATCTCTCCTGAGCCCATCCCTGTACGCATTGTTTACATGAGAGCACCCTTATCCTCTCCTTCCATTTCTGTTCTCAGGCCACAGAGAAGTGCTCTGCCCTGTCCCAAACTTCACAGCCTCAGGGGCAGGGAGGTGCAGGCTCATGGCGAGTCACTGGGGCTCTGAATAGTGCCTGGCAGCTCCATATACAAGCATCACAAACTGCCTTATCAGATAGCTGGACTTCCAGTCTGCCCCCATCTTTGGCAATAGGTAATAGAGCAGGAAGAGGGCATTAGAACAAGGATGCTTTCTGACACCCACTGTTATCTGGCCCTGAATATTATGGATCCCAAATAAGGCTCATTTTTTTCACATAATTACTCATGAATAGCACTCCTACTCACACTCCATAACACCAAGCAGGGAAGAGGAGAGATGCAGCATCATTGCTGGCTACAGTGCGGACTCCAAAGTGAACAGAGCATGAAGAGAAAGAACAAACAAGAAAAAATACTTGTGATGATCCTTGCTGGGTAGGACATAGATGGAAAATAGCTCCAAGGATGCCACAGACCCTCAGTCCCGTTAGAGCACTAACGGCATCAGGGACACCAAACACTCAGACGGCAAGGTGTTTGTCAACTGACATTCTCCAGATAGGGATTCTGGGCCACCATGAGTTAGAGAGTCACCAATATTTAGGGACAACAGCCTGTTTCAGACCAAACTGGAAAAGGGAAGGGACAAAGACCAGCATTGTCCCCACACCCCACCTCCAGCAGCTGAGCACAGAAAGGACGAGA